GCGACAACTCGCTAAACACTATTTGCGGCGGTGCAGCCTTTAGATACGAGGGCGGGCAACAAAAGCCCCCTCCCCCGGCGCAGTGCGACAGACGCTACAGACGGCGGACAGACGGTGAAGATCTCACCTGTCAGACCGCGTAAAGAAAAAGGCCCCAACGAGGAAGGCGACGTGCTGACGCGTGGCTAGGCGGCTTGGCAGACCGCCAGTTGGGCGCTTGGCCGCTAAGCGGCGCGTAGGGGCGGGGCACCCCCCGCCCCCCCGCCCTGACACTGTGGACGCGGAGCCACGCGTACACACGGGCAGGCAGAAAGGGGGAAATTAGCGCGGGGCACCAGGTGGAGCGCCGCGGAGCGATGACAGCATAGCTTGGATGGTGAGTGACGGCGCAGCACCATCGGGCGAGGGCATAAGCAGCTCGGCGAAGGCACGCCCGGCGCTGTGGAGGCGCTGGAGCAGAGGGCCTTGACGGGCTTGAGCAGCGGCGAGGTCCGCGGCGAGAGCAGCACACCTCTGCTGAAGAGCGGCCATAGCCTGGGACAGCTCGGTTTCGCGGTCGGTGAGGGGCGGCTGCTCAGTGTCAGCGGCCTCGGGCCTCGTGGCAGGGACGAGGTCATCAGTGCGCCTGGCCAAGTGGTGGGCTGGCGCAGTACGGCACCCTGTGTGCTGACGGCCGTCACCCTTGAGAGGTGACTGGAGGGTAACACACGGCCCCAGGGCTGGAGCCGCTAGGGCCACGCCCCGTGAGGTCGGACGAGCCGCATCCTCACGCCCAGCAACAGTGGAAGCATGGACGGGGTGCGGCGGCCTGACTGGCTCGGTTCCCTGCGGGGGGGCTGGAGCCGCCCCCGCGGGCTGGCGCTGGTGGGGGGACGGAGTGGGTGGCACGGTAGGACTAATCATGCTGCCATGCGAGGGCTCTGAGGTCGGCCGCGTAGTCGGGTGGCGTCTCGATAGGGCGGCATGGTCGGCAGCGTGGGGTGTCGGCGGAGCGTCGTCTATGCTGCCACTCGGTCCGAGGGGGTCAACCAGATCATCGTCGGCGTCTTGACGGTGGGCGACCTCATGTGGGTGCACTGTCGCTCTCGGTGGCGGAGTCGCGGTAGGCGTCGGGAGGTTGCCCGACGGAGCAGGGTTGTCGCTGGCTGGGCCGTCGTCCAAGAAGTCCAATCCCCTACCGAAGCCGAACGGGTCGTCCTCCTGTTCATCGGCGTCTTGGAGGTGAGCGACGTCATCATGTGGGTGCGGTGCCGCTCTCGGTGGCGGGGTCGAGGTGGGCGTCGTGCGGATGCCCGACGGGGCAAGGTTGGCGCTGGCTGGCCCGTCGTCCAGGAAGTCTAGTCCCCCGCCGAAGCCGAACGGGTCGTCCTCCTGTTCGTCGTACATCGCCCGTTGGGCCTCGGCCCAGAGCTCGTGCGGGTTCTGCGGGATGTCTGGTCCAGCCGCGGGTGGTGCCTGGTCCGACAGCAGGGGGTTTGGTTCCATTTTGCTGAGTTCCGCAACTGTAAACCCAGCCCTGCGGTGTGGGAGCGGGAGAGTGCGGTGTCTGCGCTCGTAAATAGCGACAGCGACCCCATGGAGCACGGTCGCTTGGCGATGTCGTGTTTTGGCGGCTTCGACAATGTCGTCTGGAAGGTTGTGAGTGCGTGCCGCCGTTGTGGCAAGGGCGTCAGCCTGACGGTTGAACTCCTCCGCAATGGGCCCGATGAGCCCAAGGTCGATGCCCATGTCTCCCAGGTGGCTGGCGATTTTTTCGACGCGGAACATGTTTGGCTTGGCCATAACACATCGGTGGATCTTTTCCCAGAGGTCCACGTGCGTGCCCTGCGGCGCTGGATGTCCGTCGATGATGCTTTGGAACCCATCGACCACCGCCTGGTTGTCAACGAAAACGTGCACGGGCCGTTCGGCACATGCCGTAAGGTGGACGATGGCGAGGGTCTCCGCAACCTGGGCGTTCTGCGTTAGGCCGTGGACGCGTGCACTGTAGTTCATACGATGGTCGATGCCGTAGTAGACGCCGTAACCCGCTCGTGCTAGCAAAGGGATGGCTTGGTTGGTGCATGCACCGTCTGTGGCAGCGTAGACCCATGTCCAACCAGTGTCGTGGTCCAGGTAGGTGGTGTAGGTGTCCTGGGCTGAAGCCGCAGGATCTCCCTCAGGGGGGGGCCGCGGATGGGCTGTGGCAGCGGGTCCCTCGCGAGGTCGGCCTGCAGGTCGAGGAGGGCTGGGTCTTCGTCGAAGAGCCCGCAGTGTCTTGTGTGCGGCGGGAGACGGGCCCACTGGTCGTCACTGATGAGGGTGGTGAGAGGGAGTCTTTCTCGGGCCCAGCACTTGCAGTCGCGGACAGTGTGCTCCTGAGTTTCCTCTTCCTCGTCGCAGTATCGGCAGATGGGGCTGGGGTCAGCTGACGTGTTTGATCGGGATCGTCGCTGTTGGGTGTGGTCCCCGCCCGACAGGTAGTTCAGGAGGAGCGCCAGCTGCCAGGCAGTGCATTTGG